AGAAAGAATTCCCAATTCCACAGGACAAGGGCTGTTACGGAGGCAGCAGAGTCACAGAGAGAAGCTGGCTTACACTGCCGTTATCTAAATTCCATGAACCCTACTGTTCCTTGTTTTAAGGGTCCCATGCTTTCTGGATCGAGCAGTTTACATTATTAAGTAGATAAATACATATACAGCACGGATCCATTGAGATGGTAAAAAGCATTAGAGACACAGTGGGGAAGAGAACCTGTCTCTGACCTCACAGCTGAGGCAGATATGCAGACAAATCTAGATGGAAAGGATAAGACTTAAAATACACGGACATTTAAGGAGGTCAAATGTGCCCTTAAACATTTTCTAATAAAAAAGGCAAATTAACAAGTTATTTAAACTAGTTTGGGAAGTAATGATAAAGAAATCAGAGAAATACTCTCCAAAGACCTGTCTGTATCAAAACCATGGAGATTTAGTAGAACCTTCCAGTTTCCTTTATAGGGATGAATTGATTAAACAATCAGAAGAGGGTTTTCTAGTAGACCACAGTGTGCAATGCAAGCTAAAGACCTAACTTGTTACCCGAAAAGTATTCATTACATTTATGAATCTAAGGAGTTAATTTTCCATGTAATATTGATTTGGACATATGACACCAAGTACAAAATAATCTAAACCCTCTACTGCTCTCTTCTATTAAAATGCTCTCAGTATCTCAAGTGCAGACCACATGGAATTTCCAGTACAAAGAAAACAAAACCAAACATAAACCTCACCACAACTTTGGGCCAAAAGAGCAAATGTAGCAGGAAATAGAGCAACACCTAGCTGAGCTACCATTTCATCAGCACTCAGGAGTAAATATCAGTAATAACTCTTGCTATCTCCACAAGTACTTTACCTGATTATGCTTATATGTTTCGCTAAATTCACACATTTCACATTTTGCTTCTGCAAAGGCTACTTACTATAAAGCATAGTTATGAACACTAACGATTTATTGTCTTTTAGTTCCAGAGATGTTTAGACTAGGCTGACTTCGCTGTTGAATAACAAAGTAGTGTAAGTTTAATTTCATGGTTTACAAAATGACCTCAGATACGTCATGGTCACTGTAATGTAGACAACATCCTCTTCCACCTATGTAAATGACACTAAATTAGATGATCTTTCCCATTTCTCTAACACACATGCATTTGTTTTCATTTTATAGCAATTAGCTGACCCTTGAGAATTTCTAAAAATACACAGTCCCAGACAACATTCCAAATACATGTCCTCACACCCACATACAAGTGCAGTCCTCACACCCACATACA